TTAATACATGTCAGTAATTTTTAAAGTTTAACTGCCTCCGTGGCCGAACGATTACCATGCTGGTCTGCCACACAGAGGTCCCGGGTTCGATTCCCGGGCCGGGAGAAGTATTTGTATGGTCTACATTTACTTCTCTCGTGAGATTGGGTGTAACTTGTGGTTGTCTATGTTTGTGTCCATGGTACCCACGATGCAGGGTTTCCCTAGTGCGCGGCTAAAAGTGTGTGCGTTATTTTTTTATTTATCTTTGAGATTTAAAGCTTTGAGTGCTGCTGTTATGGACAGGCGTGTCACTTACCATCAGGCGCACGACTTGTTCGTCCCGTCACCTATTATCATAAAAACAACAAACATAAAAAGTCATTTATTTACGTTGCCATCTGGTTAAGCGACCAGTTAACATTGTTTGCTATTTAATGATCCAGGACCCTCTTAAATTACTGTTTATACATTTTACTTTATTACATACATTTTTAAATGAGAAGTATGATGTGAAATTCCAAATATATTATAAGTATACTGCCGTCCACTAACTAAAACATAGTCGTAAGAAATATAAAAGCATAAAAAATAGAGAATTTTGTGCTCTCTCAAAAGAGAGATTAAACTTAATTACCTGTTTTTTAAAAAAAAACAGTTAAAATTAGTTAACGTGTTCGACTTATCGGAACTTACCTAACCTAACGAAGCATAGTTGAAATATCATTAAATAATTTTAATAACAAAAACTGGGTTATAGTTTATTTATTACACTTAGCTGCGTTTTAGTGAGCAGATGGCAGTATAAGGTTCATGAAATTATATGTGTCGGCCTAGTACACTCATTATCAATGAAATAAAATAGGAAAATCCCCAAATCATAGCCACGGAAGTGAAGGATAAGTGAGACAATACACGTCCGATTTTTCCGTCCGATAGTCTGATCCGACTACCGGAAGGCGCTCGTACCATAAAACTGTATGAACACTTAATACACATGTCAATAATACATATGTCACGTCCGAATCAGAAATAGCATCCGATTTTATTACCGGTCCGATTGTCTGAAGGCGTGCTCTTTATACTTTTGCGGGGAGACAAAATACACGTCCTATTCTTCCCTCCGATTTGCAGCATTGCCAAAGCAAATTATTCAAAGTCTCCAAAAATCAAGGTTATTTTGGTGAGAGCAAAAGTCATATTTCCCACATGTAATAATATTAATTAATTCTTAGTATTTTTTATATTATTATTGTTACGCTTAAAAATATATCAAATAATTAAGAAAGTCAAAATATGCCCATCTATCTATATGTATATACGTTATGCTATAATTATAAATAAACTCAACAAGCTTGACGAGTGGCAAGTTGTGGTATTAAGGTCTATCCACACATACCCGGGACATTCTATAGCATTTAAGGTTATTTGAAAAGAGCAATCCCTAGAGTTTCTTGCTCGTTCTTCTCACGGAGGTCAGCGTAGTGAACGAGCAGTAGCTTAAAAAATGACGTTTTCAAGTGTAAAAATTGTACCTATGGAATAAATGATTATTTGACTTTGAGAAATAATAGTGCAGATTAAGGTGTCGTAGCTTGTATATTTAAATGAAGTTGTTCACACATAGAACAATACGATTAACTGTTGTTCTCGACTTTTTGACGTTACGACGATAGACTGTCATGATAATGGGAAGAGCTAGAACGATAGTGATCTGACGACAAATAAAACATCACGATAAAAATGTGACGACAGATAATCGCAGCTTCAGACGATTATGTCGTGCAAACGACAATGCGGCTGCCGTGAACCAACAAATTGTCGTCACGATCTATTGCCACAAGGTAGTAGCAATGCGCGACTTTGAATGATACTAATACTAATCATTCGAATGGGCAAATCATTCGAATTAGTCAAATTCAAGCACAATCATTCAACTCGAGTTGAATTATTTATCAATACCGAATGCCTTATAGTCGGTTGGATGCACGACTCGAATGATTATTATATCGGAACACCTAATTCATCATGTCCATACCACAAAATATCCCTGTCCACGTCATATTTACAGTGTTTACCATATGTCAGAGAGGGCTAGATGATCACGAGCAGAAATGCTCTATGGAATCTATGGATTAATACTACTAATTAGTAATGAATGATCATTCAAATCATTTGAATACGAAAATTAGTAGGTTACTAATTTGACATTCGAATGACAGGATTAGCGATTACTAACGTGTCGAATATTGAAATCATTCACATTCACATTCGCGCATCGCTAACAGATAGTCGTGATATGATAGGAACAGGCTAGACGCGACAGTCGTCTAACGATAAATAAATCGTTACGACATAATGGAAACGCGCTCTTATTTGTTAAAGGCAACAAAATGAACCAACAGAACAAATGACGAAGTACATACTACATACAAAACTTGCAGTCTTGCAACGGATTCCCCGATATTTGGTTTACGTCAGTAGAATAAAAAAAATATGAAGAATCTTATGGTGCATTTACATCGGGTCAACTGCCAACCTTCGGCCGACTACTTCGCCTTGCCAAAGGCTACGCACACAGTCGACTTCGGCTGCAAAGTACTGGCAAGCCACACGACCGCCTGACGGCTTGGTGTAAATGCACCATTAGCACTATATTTATTGCACAGTATTACAATAACTTCCCTAGTTATAGATAGCACCAACACATAAAATGTAAAAAAGCCTAGCCTGCCTGTGAGTGTGGGGGACTAGTCTGACTGTGGTGAAGTTGCGGAGCCCTTTAGAGAACATTTCACTGTTGAATCGCGGTTGGATGTACAAACTTCTCGTTGGGTAGGTGTCGGTGCTGGGACCGTCGGGGGAAGGCGTATTACCCATTTTACCCCTAAAGAGATTAAGACGGTAATTAATAATATGCAGAGGGGTAATTCGCCTGGTCACGATGGTCTTAGCATTGAGCACTTTAAGTATGCGGGGGTACATCTACCACGTGCTCTCTCTATGCTATTAAGCTTTTGTATGGATCACTCGTACCTTCCAGAGGCACCCATGAGGACGATTGTTATACCGGTTGTTAAGAATAAAACAGGTGACCTATCTGACAGAACGAATTATCAGCCTATTTCGCTGGCTACTACTACCGCCAAGGTACTTGACCGTATGCTGGACCCAATACTGGAACGGCACTTAAAGTTTCACCACGCCCAATTTATTTTAGAGCGGGGTTATCCACAGATAGCGCGATTCTGTGCCTGAAGCATACGGTCAGGTATTACACAGATAGGAAAACCCATAGAAAAAAAGGGAAAACCCCCGTGTATGCTTATTTCCTCGACTTGTCAAAAGCATTTGATCGAGTCAACTACGATCTGCTATGGCAAAAATTAAGTGCGACAGGCCGGGAGAATGTGTGGTACTAAATAATGTACTGGTACAGCAATCAGAAAAATCAGGTTAGGTCGGCTAATAATAATCTTCTGAGTACAAACTAGAGTGTGGAGTAAGACAGGGGGATTACTTCATTTTATTTAACTTGTACGTTAACGAGCATCAGCTCGTCGCCTATTAAGGCGGGCTCAGATGCATGCATGCAGGATTTTACGTAGGAAGCACTTGCATAAATAACTTATGCTATGCTGATGACATGGAGCTGCTTAGCTCGTCGGTCAGTGCGTTGACGCAGATACTTGAGACTTGAGAGGAGTATGCCATGGCACATGCATTAGAATACAACCCGAAGAAAAGCGAGGTCATGGTGTTTAAGGCGGGTAAAATCAAACCGTATTATGTTCCTCCTATTATGTTAAATAGAGTTCCGTTGAAGGTCACAGATAGAGTAAAGTATCTTGGTCATATTTTAACAAGTGATCTAATCGATGATCTGGATGTTGAAAGGGAGCGCAGGGCTTTGGCGGTTCGGAGTCATATGCTTGCCCGCAGGTTTGCTCGGTGGTCCTACGAAGTTAAAATATAACGCTTTTTAAAGCTTATAGTCAATCCTTTTACTCGAGCAGCCTGTGGGTTAGGTATACGAAACGAGCCTTTAACGCCCTGCGCGTGCAATATAATAATGCATTTAGAATGCCGATGGGACTGCCAAACTGGTGTATGGGTAGTGCACCGGGTATGTTTGCGGTGGCTCACACGGGCAGCTTCCAGGCCGTTATGCGCAAAAAGATTGTCCCGCTGATGAGTCGCGTGAGGGTTAGTACTAACAGTAACAGCATTCTAAATGCTATAGCGGGAAGGTATGATTGTCCTATCCTGAAACATTGGATAGTGCAAGTTAAGGGCGTAGCCCAGTTTGAAATATAATTAAGTTGCAGTGATTGTTACTAACATTGATATCGATACTTTTACTAACATACTATGGATATTTTATGGTCCGAAATAAATAATAATTATTACATTATTATAGGAAATGAAACTATTTTTCCGGATTTAAATCGCGTATATTTGTTTTTTCAAACAAACCGACGTTTCGGGCCCTTTACACTTACAGGTCCCATGGTCACGGTTGACTGAGGTGGTACAGTCTTCAACCAGTTATGTCTAATATTAATGCAAACCAGCCTATTTTTTCACTATAGTTACAATAGTTATTAATTAAATACCTTATTTTTAATTTTACAAAGAAAATATTCCAATTTACACTACATTAATAACCGACAAGAAACGTCGGTTTGTTTGAAAAAACAAATATACGCGATTTAAATGCGGAAAAATAGTTTCATTTCCTATGTGTAACAATCGCGAAAACCTAAGAACTCGATATTATATTATTATTAAGCGAGCAGGATAACAATTTATGAATATCCATATCAAAAAGGCAAGGCAGACATTAATGTTCGGATATACGTGGCGTAACGGTTCACAATCAGAATTTGTTTGCGAATGTATATCCAAACGTTGTTTGACGGACAATTTTTGTTGAGGAGGTTATGTTTACTGCATAAATTTGTCGAGTCAGATATCTAATTTGGTGTGCAAAAGTTACTGATTCATTATACAAGTTAAAAAGCAATAATCCTAAAATGTTAGTTACACTAAAAACATTGCAACAACAAACGTTTCAAATAGAGATTGATCCAGAGGAAACTGTCAAAGCGCTGAAGCTCAAGATTGAAGTCGAAAAAGGTAAAGACTATGTCTCCGACAACCAGCGACTTATTTACGCAGGGAAGATTCTTCTCGACGACAATAAGCTAAGTAACTATAACATAGATGAAAAGAAGTTTATTGTTATCATGGTCACTAAACCCAAGCCATCGGAAGTCCCAGCGTCGTCGGCCACTGTGCCCGAGGCTGGTGAAAGTGCGACGTCTACCGAAAGCGGCGACGGAAAGAAAAACACTATCGATGAAGCTCCCAAACCACCCGCAGTCGCGGAGCCCGAACGCGCTTCAGAGCCGCCAGCCGTCTCCAATGAGCCCGACTTCGAAACTACAGTGCAGAGCATCATGGACATGGGATACAACCGGCAGCAAGTAGAGCAAGCTTTACGTGCATCCTTCAACAACAGAGAAAGAGCTGTGGAGTACTTAATAACAGGTATACCTGAAGAGTTGCTCCAAGAACAAGAAGGGGAAGAAGGAACTGACGAAGACCCATTAGGATTCCTGCGTGATCAGCCTCAGTTCCAACAGATGAGAGCAGTCATTCAACAGAATCCAAACTTGTTGAATGCAGTTCTACAGCAAATCGGTCAAACCAATCCTGCCTTATTGCAAGCTATTAGCCAACACCAGCAAGCATTTGTAAGGATGCTGAATGAGCCAGTGAATCCATCATCAGGAGGTGCTGCTGCAGACGAGAGTGCTGTGGATCCCCCAGCACCCCAACAAGCACAAAATGTCATACAAGTGTCACCACAGGACAAAGAGGCCATTGAGCGATTAAAAGCCCTAGGGTTCCCCGAGCACATGGTTATTCAGGCATACTTTGCATGTGAAAAGAATGAGAACCTTGCAGCAAATTTTTTGCTATCACAAAACTTTGATGATTAATATTTACTACTGCAACTTGTTGCAGTGGAGAGACAAAATTTAACACAAAAGTCATATTTCATGTTGTCATTTCATCAATAGCCTAAATAGTTTATGCTTGTAAAAGTCATGTGTATTTTTACACAAATTTCACATTTTGTCAAGAATTCAATGTCTAATAAATTTCTTATTGTTCACATTTTTGTTTCAATGGTTGTGAGGGATATTATGATATATTTATAAATTTAAATTTTTATATGAAGTTATGAAAATAAATAAAATCCCAGTTTACATCAAACAGTTAATATTATTAATAATTATTTATAAATAGCATTAAGTTAACATAAAAAGCTATGTTGGTATAAACTTTATCCATTCTAAATTCAAAGGCACTTTCCACAATGTCTATACTTACTCACTCGCCATGATTGATCATGCAAACATCAAATACCAGTAAAACAAGTCCAATAAAACTGTCCATAGTACAAACTAAGTGATATGTCTGCATAACAATCAGGGCTAGCTTCATATTTCATAAAACTTACAATTAATTCTGATAGTCAACTAAAATTACCCTTTTGACAAAAAAATATATCGTTTTCACAATGTAGATGACAGAATGATTTCAATAGCACTTGTATTTTTAAACTAGAAATTGAAAAAAACAATAACCGCGATGATATGCGACGTAAACCATTCCACTCATCTACATCAACAATTAATGTATGTACATAATTAAAAACTTTTTATACATCTCTTCTATATTATTTTTACACAATGTACACTTTATTTCCATATCATCATATTGAACTGTAAGAAGTAGAAAAAGATAGTTAAATCTGTACATTGCAATAGAGCTATTGCACAAAATAACTAAAAATAACTTTGGCTTATCTATTACAAACACCCTGTACGGTGTCCAAAATACCTATACAACTTACATGTCAACATAATAATAATATGTATACATATAAAGAGAACTTATCACTTCACTTCTACTTATTATTCCCCATCACAGAAAAGTGTGATCTGCCCTACAATACCAAACCATAAGAAGATATGAAAAAACTAGGCAAGTGGCAATCATAGTTCAAAAGTTATGTCATAAAGTAAATTGTGAAAAAATTTAATTTCAACACACTAGTTGCATTTACAACTTATAATGGCACACAAGTAAAATTTGAAACATTGTTAAAAAGAATATAAAATATACCTTTTGGAATGGTAGCGAAAGCCATATTTTGTTGATTTACAGGGGAAGTATCAACAATTTTAGTCTAAAACAAAAATGAGTTTCAAGGTTGTATACTTAATTAGGTAATGTAACATAGGTTTATCTATTTTCTTTTTTAAAATATATTGCAAACAACGGACGTTATAAAACAATAACAGAACATAAAAAATAAGGCCATTAACAATTTATATATCAGATATTTGTATAACTGATTTAATGTTATTAATTCATCATGAAACCTTTTCATGTATCAAGTGGCAGGTCAATTCATGTGACCTCTCTGGACGTCTGTAGCTGAATTGTCAGCAGTACAAACAAGTCTCCCATATGGAGGACGAATTCAGACAGAAGTGTGCCTTAAAGCTCTCACCGGCAGGGCAGTGGCACACCTGGTTAGCCGGCTGGGCCTCATTCTGTTTTTTGTTGGCAATAAAGTTCCTTCAGAGTCTTTAGTTCCTCAATCAGTGCTTTGTTTTGATTTTCGAGCACTGCTACTCTGTTTTCAAGGCATTTGATGTACTCTTTCTTCTTACGACGGCATTCTCTGGCGGCTTCTCGGTTTTTCAGTAACCGCAGTTCTCGTTTGCGAGTTTGGTCTTCTAACATGGGACCTGTAACAGTAGTACGATTTGTTCGTGTTTTTGACCACAGTCTACTTTGTATAGGATTGGCAGGAGATTGTAGTGCTTGTGTGTAGTGACACTAACCCGGTACGTAAAAGCCGTCCTGGTTAGTCGCGTACTGAACGATGGCGCCACCGCTCCCACCGCCTGACACTGCCAGTGTGTGCAGCCCGCTCTCAGTTTGCAAAGCTCCAGCTGGAATCACTAATAATCAAACTACTGTTAGTGTCTTTTCCACATTGTGACCTTAGTTCCACCTATGGAAATATAACTTTTATAGATACATCCCACTGAAATAAAAACAAAAAACAGTAGAAAAATGATATAAAGATTGTGCTCTCATGTACCTTATTAGTAAATTGATAATGAGATAAAAACAGCATGGAAAAATAGATAATAATTGTATAAATATTAAAGATAACAATGTATTTTTCAAGAATACGCAAAATATAGTTATTTTCTAAGTTTAGACATAATTAGGCTTGATCACATTTTAACCTACTAGTTATTCGAATTAGCTATTTTATAAGTGCTATTCCCGATTGCAGCATTACAAGCTCAGTTATATTTATGTTTTAATTAATACTTTCGTGACAAATACACTACTCAAAATATTGCTTAGCTACAACAGAAACTCCCAAATTGAAAACAAGAGGCAAGGCATTCGACAGAGAATGACGTCATCGTCACTACCTCGCGCCGAATTACGTCATCGGGTGGAATATCAATCAGGCCGTTGCTGGTCGCCGGATGACGTCATCTTTTAGAGGAAACAGCTAACAAAATTAACCATAATAAAAAAGTAAACCTAACCAAAAAGACTGTATTTTACAAGTCAATGATCTTAATGAGGTGCGAAATATTTCCAAAGTCTGTACTTTTAATATTGTTATTTTAATCACCACAGTAACACTGAAGCAAGTATTTAGCGTTTCTAACGATATGTAATCTCACCAAATGATCTTATTCCAGTCAGTATTAGAATACTTTATAGATTACAGGAGGAACAAATTACGTTTTTTGAAACTTTACAATATTTCAATCAATGCAATGGAGTGAGATCTTGTGAGACACATGATGGTAGAGGTACTCCTGAAGCCGTGGCAATGAGCTATAAAGAAAACTTTAAAGTTATGTAGATGCTTGCGACAGGTTAGTGACACAGGTTGCACACAGAAACAAAGAGTGTCAGCAGCAGAACATTTAACTGACCTGGTGCAAATGACAAAGGAGCAGACAGCGACACTTCATTCTCGCCCCCTGGCTTAGATCCCATGCGTTCTGTAATATTATCAGGTACTTATTCTAATGCTTACTTTCGTTTTTGACTCCTGTTTGACCATTCAACCCTCATTATACTAATTTATTTCAATATGTATTTATCAAGTTTCTGAAACTTTATACACAACATTTGTTAGTTTTATCAATGTTATCAACTGTGTTATGGTACCTCCTTCATTAGGCACAGCATGCTGATTAAATCCTGTTAATGGGCATTCTTAGGGAGCACAGTACTACAAAAAGCACAATCTTTATATTACAGTGTTGTATGCCATTTTTCCAGTTCAACTATAATTGTTTGGGTATAGTGAAGCAAAAAATAAACTAAAAAGTGCCTTACCAGCAATCTCAGCTCCACCAAGGTCATTAAGTATTTTGCGGTAGGAAGGGCGCCGTGTGAGCATTTCCCTGTATTTTCTTTTGGGACTTTCATCATCACTACAACTGTCGTCACTAGCTGATTGGCCCTGGGTATTCACAAGAGTGTTTGGTTCTGGTTTTATCTGTATTTGAAATAACAAATTATTAAATTAATATTTTTGCTGATTATTGCATTGAACTGATATAATTAGTACAGAAATGAGTTATTAAGTTTTATTATGTGACTATACACATGACCTACTTTTGCGCTAGCGAGAGGTTTTTAGAAATAATATAGTATTATAATAATATAGTATAATGTAATAGACAATTAAAGAGTAACTGTTATATCATGTGGATTAGACACCGAAGTTATTTGGGATTCCTATTATTAACTAATTAATTATTTGCAAAGTAAAAATAAATACCTGTAGTGTTTGCAATGTTCCTTGAGTAGTGTGTATGACAGAACTTGGCTTACTGACAAGGATCACATTCCCTTTTGGTAATTGCACTGACTGAATATTGGATGCAGTCTGGATCACAGACTGTTGATTCGGTTGTATCACTGATTGTACCTGCAACATGTTAATAACATTGCAATTTACTACTATCCTTTATAGCCTGAAATAGCATTAGTGTATTAGTCATCATGGAAAAGAATTAAAAATAATGTTATGTATCTATAAGTGTATTTTCCTCTTTTATCTACCTACTATGGAAACCTAAACAAAGTCATATAAACTATATTATAAGACTATTTAGAGTTAGATTTTGATCAACACCATATGTTTATAGTTAACTACAGATAGTAAGTATATATAGAGCATTTGTATACACAACAAGTAGGTGTGATATCAAAACAAGCACCTGTGCAGAGGGGGCCTGTGTGGGTAGGGTGAGCTGGACTATACTGGTGACAGCCACGACGTGAGCGCCGCCGGTCGATGAGGACCCAGAGGAAGCCAGCGGATCCACGTTGTTCGCGGCCGCTCCAGTGCCATTTTCCTCCACCATTCCGTCCATGCCCTCTACGCTCACCTAAAATATTCAAGGTCAACACTCTACATCTCTCGTCCTTCAACGAGCCCAACCAAAATAATCCCCGAGCAACAATCTGTTTCTCTCGCGCGAATCCTAAAACGGAGTCATCGCGTCATAGCTGGAAAATTTTCCTATTGCGTCTGTCAGTTTATACGCAATATATAATTCTCGTTGTTCCGAGGACTACGAAGCGCCGTTGTGAGTGTTCTATTATTGAGAACATCCATAATTGCGAGCCTAAATTTTAATCGTGACAGGTCGCAAGGTTTGTCTTCAGTACTCACCAGTTACGTATTCCTCGTCACCGTCTATGCTGTGTCCGGAGTGGGCGAACGGGATGGTACGTAGTAGCCACGTCAACTGCGAGAACACTCGTCACTGGCGGAGACCTCTGATCTTGTATGCGTCATAACAATATGGCCGAATATTGTCAAGCGCATGCGCTTCGAGCACTCCCAGTTTCCCTCCTCTCCCTCCTTCCCTCACGCTTGACAACAGGAAGTTGAAATGTCAAAAATATGCTATAGACAAACCAAATTCTATGTTTACTAAGACTTTTTCTCTTGGCGTTCCAGTGTGAAATCTGATTTCTCATGTTGTCTCTTGTAAACTCAAGAGCAACTGTATACGGATTCGCTCTGGACGTTTTGGAGGGAAAAGTGTCGTTTTTATTTTGACTTTCAATTATTTTGTGAAATCTAGTTTAAAGTGGAATAGGATAGTGATATTGTGCCTTAATCGAAGATTAAAACGCGAAATTATACGAATCTCGAACTAAAATACCCGTATCGGCCCGTTTTAAGGAATCCCGAGTCAATCCAAGCACGCCGCATCAAATTGCCTATCCTCTTTGTGGCGGCCATATTTACAGAAACATAATTAAACTTCATGTTTAGGCTGATGGCTTTGCCAAAGCCTTAATAATTAAAAAAAAAAAGCAACTGCATTATAGATATCCTGTTGTCAAATCAAAGTTCGTGTTTTTGTGTTTGTTTACAGCATCGGCAGTATTTGAGTATTTACCAATTCCAAATTGAAATCCAGTTCAATAGCATTGTTATTATCTGGGAAGAAAAAGAAACTTTAATTGAATATTTCGTTGTAATGTCAAAGTGAAAAAATAATAAAGATGACTTCCAAAAGCTGCTTCAAAAATCAATTTACTGACTATACTCCTGATTCCGAAAAAGCAGACGCTTTAATAACCGCGTCGAAAAACAAGGGGTTTAAAGTACTTTACTATCTAATTTGTAGTGTCATAAAATAAGTAAAATAACAGAATGAAAATGGTTTTCCATTCACATTCTGCTGATCCGCTGTGCTTATATTATGAAAAAACTGTACTCAACTATTCTTGCGCCTTGTCTCTGTTACTTATGTTTTATCTGATATTATAATATTATTGTATAATATACCTTACCTTTGATGGAAGCTTATGTATTCTATATAGTAGAGCTATAATAATATAAAAATTGCAGTGTTGATCTCCTATATGACTTTTACCAAAAAATAATTGAAAATTTTGTAGAAAGGTTGTATACACTTTTTCAAATTTTTAGTTATCAAGGATATTCTTAGAGAAGCTGGAAAAATTTCAAAACACAAAGCTGCAGCATCTCAGAACTAATATGAGAAGTGATATATTCTATGATGGTACTGTATACACTGGTTCCTGCGGACTGGTCTTGTACTACTATTTGATGCACACAAGTAATGCAGAAAATACGGCATATTTAAAGGTATAATATTTGTTATAATTATTAATTCAAAGATCTAACACTAAGAAACATTCCTTTGATCCAGCTGTATGTAGGTATGCTCTCACTGCAGTACTTAACAACTTTTTTACTGTAGCATCATTTGTGAGAAATCTATGAAAGTTTTGTCTTAACAAAAAAAATACTATCATGGTGGAAAACATGACATTCAATAAACTTATAAGGTATAATATTTATTACTCATCAGGATGAAATTCCAGAAATAAAAATGTTGTCTGTGTTGATTCAACGATTGTCAAATTTCCAGTTTTAATTGGTTTAATGAATATTTTCAATCAAGATACTATACCATCTCAGCAACAAGAATGGCTAATATGCTACCAAATTTACCTAAGTATAATAACTGATCAGAATGGTTCCGTATAACCATTCCAATAAGGATGGATTTACAGATACTACAGTTGCATAGCTTATCTCTCCGAGTGTAAAATCAATCAATACTATGAAATGTCTTTTAAGGGAGCTCCACAAAATGCTCATTGTTTGATATAGAAGTCTATGGAATTGATAAGGTTTTATTTTACAAGGTGTTTATTATTATTACATTTGGCAATCACACACTTATCCCTCAAGCCCGCTCCACATTCATGCCAAAACTTCCCGAGAATAGCCAAATACGAGAGTGTAGTGACCATATTCGTTAAGTCTCGCCTGTGTTCTCCACTTCGTGTCGGTATTTCGGACCCGTTTCGGGCTCTTGTGTAGTTTTGTGTTTGCGCGAGACACTTTTCTCCACATTCCCGTCACGGCAGTCCGCCGGCAGTAACCGCAGTGTTCTGTTGCGATGTATTGATGTCATCCACCATCTGCGTCTATTCCAACGTCTCTTAATAAGTTTTTTCCTCAAATTAACAAAAAATTGTAATATGCTATAGCACATAATGCTGCAGCAACAGACGTATCTAACACGTCCATCTTGTATGAATACAATTGTGCGGGCAAGAATGTGGAGAGCCACACTCGGTCTTGTCCTGTCTCGGCGAGACCCGACACCGGGATGTCTCGACGAGAGTGTGGAGTGCACTTCACACACTTATTGCACTCAAGATCTATTTGAGTGTTACAGATGAAATGTTTCTCCATGAATATAGCTTTGTACTGCATTTTCTAATTTTTAGTGCTTTTCTAATTTTTACATTTAATATTATTGACACTTAAAAAAATTCCTTTGATTAGTCTGGACTCAAACCAGCATCAGTTGCCACTGCTCTTACCAACTTACCTAGATCGAGTCAGAAAACCATACAAATTTCTTTATGTGCTTGTTGCAAGTCTTTGGTAGGTCTTTTTGCTATCAGTAACAATACAAACTAGTGGAGTATTATCACAAAACGTATATAAATATCGTGATAGTAAAAACATCATGATATTCAATACAAAAAATAATTTTTATTTATAATTCCAGACAGCATCGGAATATTTGAACTTAGATAACTTGAAAGGGCGCAGAATTAGCTTCTTGTGTGGAGATGCTGGACCCCTTGCACTTGGAGCTGTAATTTCATACAAGCTGTCCCACAGGCGCCCTGCTAACATGCCTGATTACACGATTTTAGTGCAAAGGTAATCATTTCAAACTTGCATATCCAAAAAATAGATAAATCTAGAAAAACATTAAATACTGTAAATTGTGTGATGGTTCAATATTAACCCGCTGCTATACATATCGTCGTTGTTTTGTAGAAAGGGCCATTTGAAAAACTTTTTTAGGGTAGTATGTTTTAGTTTATCGCGACTTTTCAAATATTTACGTCCAATTTTAAAACTTAAGCTTATTTAAAACCAAAATTGTCTTATTATTTTATTTATCAATGTTCATATTTAGTATCGGTCTTGCTGACTGCTTTCGGCAGTTCAACCATCAAAAATGACAGAAAACATGCACTTCACACCCATTTCCAATTAGAAATTATGTAGAGAACACCCTTTCACTTGCTATGATCCTAACACATCTTCCGCTTCACCAGCACATGTCAATGCTTTCATACACTCTTACCTAGAAGAAGACTAGTTAATTCTCTTAATCTGGCTTTTTTTAATCTTGCTGCCTCGCACTCGCCTTATAAATTTGTATCGTCAATCATCCATCATGCATTAAATATTACTATTTTCAGATTATTATCTTTAATATCTGTACTGGAAGAGTCACCTGACGAGATACTATATGGAAAGGCTGGTTACTTGTACGCTTTACTTTTTGTTGACAAACATATTCCTGGGAAGGAAGTAATTCCAGCAAGCCATGTTGAAAAGGTACATTGTCAAACATTATTATATTACAATTTAAAGTTTAATAATTGAGTAAGGAACACTTATCGTTTTTTCATGTTTGCCTATGTCTTTTTTATGTTATAGTCTATAAAGTTAAGATAGTTCTTATACAGAAACTAAATGTAATTAAGCTGAATTAAGGTGCCTACAGATTTGCTCGCTTTTTTGACGATCGACACGAGCGATCAAACAAAACGAGCAAATATGGTAGTAACAGACGACAGACATTGTCGATCAACACTTGCGGTTAAACAAAACGAGCAAATGTGATAGTAACTGACGCTCGACACTTCTGATCAAACAAATCGAGCAAATGTGGTAGCAACAGACGATCGACATGTTCGCACACTTGCGATCGACACAACACATAACATCGATCGACGTAACAGTTACGGAAGCCAGTCACGGGTCATGCCAGACGCAGTCATGGGTGTTCAGTTAATTTTAAAATTGTCAACAAACATATTATATTTTTTAAATTTTAGGTAATACAATCAATCTTACAATCTGGGAAACGATTTTCATCACAAATGAAGTGCGATAGTCCACTGCTATGGCACTGGCATGATAAAATATACTTCGGAGCGGCTCACGGCATGGCTGGGATATTATACATGTTATTACAGGTAAAGCTCTCTTGGTCGTCTATGACATTAAAAAGGGCTCAACCAAGTTATTTTGAATTGAATGACATTCAATGCAAAAAACTCCTGTGCCAAAGCGCAGTGTCGCAGAAAGCACTGACACAAAAATGGGGAAGCTCTTATGCTGAATATATTTTTATAGATTCAATTTGAATTATTTTTGTACTAATATTGAAATAGGTTGTTCTTTGTCGAATGTGCAGATATTTTGGGAGTTTCATGACTCTCAGATAAAATAAAATTGACCTGACCTTTAAACGGCACTCATAAAATGTAATTCGTTTATTTATTTATTTCATATTACAGGCTCGCCATTACATAATCCTGAGCGATCTACGCAGTTTTATAAAGCCAGCTATAGACTGGCTGCTAAGTCATTGTTACGCTAGCGGCAACTTCCCCTCATCGCTGGGCAGTGCTTCTGGGGACCGACTGGTGCAGTGGTGTCATGGAGCGCCTGGCTTTACGTCCTTGTGCATTGCTGCCTATCAGGTAATATAACGACTGTGAACTAGCAACCAATACTATCTCAATTTTGACAACTTTACGACATGAAGAAAAAATCATTAATATAGTATCTGGTTTATTAAATAAAAATACGTAGTTTATATACATACATGTGTAATAAAAATATTTATAAACTAAGTATTTTTATTTAACCAAATGCTATATAAATGAGGCAAACTATTTCTTTCTTCAGACAGTACCAATTGCCAGTTCACAGTCGAAATGTATAATTTGACAGCTATAATATATAACGTGCTTCTCATAATCCGCCCTTGGGACGTTTCCACCCACGTGTGGTTTCCTTATGCCAGTTCTACCGTAGTATAAATAAGACAAGTAGTGAAACTCCATACAAATACAGCAGCGCGAGTTGTTTGTGCGTGCGCACCGTGTATGGCACACACGGAAGAAAAAAACAATGGAAGTACCTTAAGCCTCGATTACTATCAGAACCGCTGTCATCAAAACTCACTCATTCATAATTTCAAACACTATGCAAATATGCAAAATAACCATTGGTCGTAGTTTCAAATTTAAAAAGAAATAAAAGTTCTGGACTGTTAACATAATTTAAGCTTTAGCTTGTTGGCATATTGTTAAGTTCAATACCTATTATTGCTAGTTACGACGTTTTAACTTTATATTGAAATTTAAATCAATATACTGAACGACGGCGAATTCGAAATGTTTACTTAGTTCTCCAGAAAAAAGCGACCATATTGCAGCGGGATAAGGTTTACTTTTGTTTCTTGTAACTAAAAATCATTACGATAAATAGAAAATGGAAAATTTATTAATAAACATTGCTTTCCGAGCAACATGTAGGCATTGCGGCGCCGAACAGACGGGAGTGCACTTGCATATATGAAAAGGACCTTAGAGATACTGGGAAATAAACTGATACTACGTTACGACGAAGATCATATGATAGCTATCGTATCGAATATTGACATTACTTCCATAGTAAAACTGACATGTGTAGTGCGTATGAGCTTCGTTGTCGTGATTTCGTAGAAGTGATGTAGAGACAGTTCGGTTAGAAATTATACACCTTACTTAGAACAATAATTAATACAAAGAGTCAGCCGAAAGTAGTTTGTATGCCCCTGTACTTATGCAATAGTTTTAAGAAAAGTTCTCTGGTACAGGGTGAATTTACGGCTCGGTTAAACGTTTCAGGAGTATGAAGAAGAGAAATACCTGAAGATGGCGCTTAAATGTGGTGAAGTAGTGTGGGAGCGCGGACTAAGCGCGAAGGGATACAGCATTTGCCACGGCGTTAGTGGGAACGCATATACCTTTTTGCAGCTTTACCAAATTACTAAGGTATGAATGAATATTTACTCAGCTTTTATATCAAGTTTTAAAACCTTTGTACTGATTGGGCAATACAATTGGTCGCAACGCTTTTTTAAAATAATAACTAATTGAAGCTATCAGCGCAAAAGCGGTATAACTCCATGAAATGCATATATAGAAGATAGAGATTTAATATAAGCCAAATTAATTTTATATTATATGTGACCAATACATTATTATATATTTTGTTATACGTGACAATAGCATCTTATAGTAGATTGTACAACAAGTTACAACAAGTGCATAAAACGCGTCATTTTGAAATGGGTAAAATGGGTTTTATGATCGTGTTATACGCTCTGCTTTTCACTTCGTTTATTAAACAGCAATATTACAAATAAACGATTATTTAATTAAAATTTAATGTAAAATGACAACAATTAGACATATTTAAAGTGATGTTTTTTTATGCACTAGAGCACAAAATCTTTTTTTATGCACTAGAGCACAAAATCTTTTTTTTATGCACTAGAGCACAAAATCTTTTTTTATGCACTAGAGCATGAAATCCTATTTTATGCACTAGAGCATAAAGTTCTATTTTATGCAGCCTACACCCAGCTTAAATACGAACTTTAAGAGCATGAGAAGTGAAAATAAATGTAAATTATAAACTTTACTATAATCTAAAGTAATATTGTAGAAAAAATAAATAAATGTGGGTTACACCACTTTTACGCCGATAGCCTTAATTATAAGTCTCTTTTCACCATCAGGCATTTGCAAGTTCTTTTTTGTATGGTCGTTGGGGATAAGAATTAAATTGAAATGACGTTTCTTCAGAGATATTTAGTGGCTAAAAACTAACTTCTTTAACAGAAACCAATCCACCTGTATCGAGCGTGTTGCTTCATGGAGTGGTGTGCAGTAGAGCGTCCAGGCACGGAACTGCACCGGCCCGATAGGCCAGCATCGCTGTTCGAGGGCGTCGTTGGCAGACTCTATCTCCTTGAGGACATAAAGGACCCGCTCCAAGCAAAATTCCCCGCTTTTACGATTTAAATGAATAATTTTCAATTACATTTTTAGAGATCCCTGGTTAATTAATAACCCTGGAAGATTTGTCGTGTCAGTCTATTTGTATATCACATTTATTCGCTAGTTTAAGTTCCGAATGTCATACAATTTACTGATTACAATACAGAAACAAAACCAAATACTAACATTTTTTTTAACACCCATAAAAAAGGAATACGAATATAAATGTACATCGAGTAGGGTGTCGTTGGAAATCATCATCATCACGTCCGACTGCTTAGAACGGGTTTCTTCTCAGGCGAAGGTCGTTGGAAAAGCTTTTAAAACTTCAACAAAATATATTATGAGAATTATAAGCATCAATACTCAGTCACTTACTTCAAATGTAATAGTCAATAGTCGGAAAAAGGTGTTCCACGTATATAGCTTCAAGGAGCGACATAGAGTTGTAAAAACCACCCAATATGTTGTTCGATACCCATCCCTAGTTACTGCCACTATGGGCACCAGAGCAATGGAATTTATTTCACGGCACAAACATGACCCAAAACAACCAGACCAGTACCAATTTTGAAAAAATCATATCCCAAATTGGTCCTACTTGAAACGGAATCCGGAACCTCCCAATCCAGAGCCCACAGTGCAAACTGTTGGGCCACTGAGGTCGTCTTATGAATGTATTAATATATTTATATATCTTATATATTATCGGAAAAAGGTGTTTCACATATATAGATACATGTATAGATATAGCTACACGGAGCGACATAGAGTTGTTAAAACCACCAAATATTAATAAATTACTTATTCGAATTCTGGATTTCCGGAAATGGTTTTACTGCATCGTAGGACAAACTATTGATCTAGGAAGTCGAAGTTGGACTTTAAAATTAATTCTAATGGTGCCATGTAAAAAATGCATAGATAACTGACCTTTTACCAAAGCAGAGAATAAAAAGTAACGAGAATGGTCACTCTCCGCCCCTCCCTAGCTGTACCGCACCGCGCCCCGTATATTAACAGTCACATTGACGGAACGGCAACACGGCTGTCAGTTATAACATAACATAACCCTCATTTCCCGCCTTATTTCAAATTACAACAATATACATATATTAGTATAGGCACCAGTATTAATTATAAAATTTTCAAAGTCGGTGGAAACAAATTTTATGATTAGTTTATGTAAACCATCTTTCTGGTGTAAAGGTATTACACGCAAGTCAAATTTTTCGAAAATGGACTAAATAAAATGAACATTAAATGTTCATCCAAATTTTGGATTTAAAAGCGGATTTTTTTTCCAAATTTTAACATGTTTATAAAATATTTTTATGGAATATATTTTAATTTTGTTTTGCAAAAATCGGTATGAAATCATCGATTATTCGATTAATCGAACCAGAAGACATCGAAAAAAAAACATCGATTATTCCACAATTCCACAAAAACGTCAATAATTACGATTTCTCGATACCCATCCCTAGCAGTAACCACAGCACGCAAGGTTTTAGACAATGGACATTTTATTGTAGGTAATTGAACATTGTCCGTACACATTTAAGAAATTTATTAAAGTTGGCAAACTTTTATTTTTTTATTTAGTCTATTGTGCAGCGTGGTTTAAATACATTGCTGCTTCGTATCCATTGATAACATTAAGATTAAGCTTTTCTTTCGTTTTACATAATATATTAGTGTGTGTAGAAGTTTCTTGTTAATAAAATTTTTTGGGTATAATAAGATTCTGATTGATAATCAAAATTTACCTTTCACGAGGTTTAAATTAGCAGCAGCAAAAGCATCTGCGTAATTGGATGATAAAAATACGTGGTAATGACCCGGTTAGCTCTTGCAGGTAGTTTCCATCTATAATGTTTAAAATAAATATTGGAAATGATGAATCTGGTTACCTATCAGTAGTCCGTAATGACATTTTCCAGAAATAACGTTTGCTCAAATTTTCATAACCTCGAAAGTAATTTTGGGAGTATGTTTTTTCTTTTAAACCTAACTTAACCTAACCGAATCTAATTGTGTCTTTGCGATAAACATCCAACATATCCTGAAAGAAAAACGGTTTTCGAACAAACGTTACTTTGAAAAAAAAAAAATTCTAGTTTGTGATAGGTTACCGATAAATGTGTACAAATGTATATTTTCAAAGTGCAACCTAAAGTCTTTTAGGTTGTTCTTTGAACTAGTCTTTTGCTCATTCCTCATAATGAGCAGTAGAGTTTAATCAATATGGCGATACCAAGTGTAACGATATTTGCTTACCTATGAAATAAACATTATACTCAATTTTGAGTTAGGAAAAGATTTTTTAGCTGTAAAAAATATTTAATACATAATGTTATTCTTAAATATATTGATTCATAATTCATTAATATCACAAAGTATATAAATTATAAATGTATAACACAGCTATTGGCTGTTATGACATTATGTTCAGTCATTTGTAAATCTTAGGTGTATAATAAACGCGATAGATATAGCAAGTTTTGGAAGTCCTATTAAACATTCTTTACATCCGAGTATGTGGTACATATTCTTTGAAATATACATACATAGCAGAAGACAAACATTTCATGTTTTCGTTTTCAAGTTCATAACATAGATTTAATAATAGATGTCCTTAACAAGCAAAGTGACTGAAAAGGTCATAAATATTTTAAGCATATCAATTATATAATATAATAATAATAATTTTCTAGTAAATGTTATAACAGAATTATATAGTAATACACATAACAAAGATGTTTTATATCTTACTGAACTATACAAGGAGAAATTGAATGCACTATTCATCCATCAATGTGAAAAACAAATCCATTTCATTTTGGTCGAGTAGGTGGTCGAATGAAGGGACATTTCACCTAGTAACGTCAGAGGTTACGACTCGGGCGTCTACAGTTTAAAGGCATATATCGTTTTTCTATTCACTAGCAACCGCATTACATTCTACACTAATAGTCGTATTATGGCTTTAATACATTTTTTATATATGTATGAATATATATAATGGCGCGTTTCCACTAGGTCGATAGGTCGCCTTCGCTAGCCCGCCGATGTGAACAACTGGGTCGTTTGACGACGTAGTTCATGTTGTTTTAGTTTGCAGTCAACCGAGTCGACTAGGTGCAACCATTGTCAGGCGATTCGGTCGCCTTTGGCAACCGATTGTCGACCAAACAAGTTTGCGTGTCTTATTCCAGTGTGACCATGGCCGAGTTTTGGAAATTTGACTACCCAAAAAAAGTCGCTATTTAATCGGTTCTAGTCGCAAAAAACTAGATTTAGTCGGTCCGCCGTTCAAAAGTTAAGAGGGTGTTTTGCTGTCCACGCTGGAATAAGCTTATTCTAGCGGCACCATTACTCAATCTCGAGAACCACAACACTTAGCTTAGATCTGATTATACTAAAAAAAATCGTGATTTAGTCGGTTCTAGTCGTAAAAAAGTAAATTTAGTCGTTACGCCATTTTGAAGTTATTAAGGTGTTTTACTGTCCACGCTGAAACAAAACTTATTCTGGCCCCAAAATTTTTTAATCTCGGGAACCACAGTTCCAAGCTTAGATCTCATTGCACTCAGAAAGTCGTGAATTTAGTCGGTTCTAGTTGCAAAATTTTGGAATTAGTCGCCCCTTTGTTTAGAAGATTCAACCGATTTATTATTTTAAGGTTATATCTGTTATTCTCGGAGCTCACGCGCAAATTTGAGTGTTCGATCTTTGTGTTAATAATTATAACAAACTAGTGGAGTAATTTCACAAAAAATAATTGAATATCAATTCAATAAAAATTTAATTAATACAGTGAATAGCGACATCTCTCGCTAGGACTGGTAGCTGTAAAGGTACTAACTGGGTGATAAATCTGTCATAGATTTCTCATAGATGGCGCTACGACTAAAAAGTCGTTGAAAGACCAAGTACAAAGACACGACGCAAGCACATAAAAAAATTCGTGAGGTCCGTTGGTTCGTTCCGTGGCTTAGTTGGTATAGCGTTTGACACGGTATGCAAGAAGACGTCGGTTCGAATCCGACCGGATCGAAGGAATTTTTTTTGAGAGTTTTTTCTGAGTGTTCGATCTTTGTATTAATAATTATAACAAACTAGTGGAGTAATTTCACAAAAAATAATTGAGTACCAATTCAATAAAAATTTAATTAATACAGTGAATAGCGACATCTCTCGCCAAGACTGGTAGCTGTAAAGGTACTAACTGGGTGATAAATTTGTCATAGATTTCTCATAGATGGCGCAACGACTAAACAGTCGTTGAAAGACCAAGTACAAAGACACGACGCAAGCACATAGAAAAATTCGTGAGGTCTGTTGGTTCGTTCCGTGGCTTAGTTGGTATAGCGTCTGGCACTGTATGCAAGAAGACGTCGGTTCGAATCCGACCGGATCGAAGGAATTTTTTCTGAGTGTTTTATCTGGGTTTTAAAAATGTTTAGTTTTTATTATAAAGAAATTAGCAAAAAATCACTATTTAAATTAGAAAGAAAATAATACGGAATTCCATCTTCCCTTGATGCGGAATCTTTAACAGTCGACAGAAAAACCTTTAACTCGCTCATGGTGAAGGAAGAGTTAAGGCAGAGAATAAAGAATAGAGAACGGACACTCTGCGCTCCTCCCTAGTTTTAGATACCGCACCACGCCCCGCACATTGCCGGTCACATTGACTGAACGACAACAAGGCTGCCGGCGAGCCATTTTCGCCCAAAGACGGCTTTGATATTTGAATCTAGTTTTCATTTATTCATTACGAAACTTGTACGTTAATATAAAACATCATTTTACGTTACGTTAAGCTAGGAGGTGTGGTTCTCGAGATTGAGAAATAGTGCTGCTGGAATAAGCGTATTCCAGGGTGGACAGTAAAACACCCTTATAATTTATGAATGGCGGCCCGAGTAATAAATATAGTTTTTTTACGACTAGAACCGACTAATAACGACTTTTTTACTGTCTAGTCAAATTTCAAAAACTCGACCATGGTCACGCTGGAATAAGGCACGCAACAAGTTTCATCGTGTCGACGGTCGCATTCCACCATGATGCGGAATTCCTACCTACCCAATCACTTGTTGAACTTACTTTATTGTTGTTTGTTGTATCTCTGTACGTAAACTTGTATATATAATGATTCTGTGTACAGTCGACTCGGTGTAAACAGCGCGTCGGCTGCGCCGCTTTTGTCCGCCGAATTCGATTGCCGAAGAGAAGGCAGTCGATTCAGTGTAAACAGGGAGTCGATTGGCGCCTACTTCGGTAATGTGAGTCTGTCGAAGGCGGCAGTCGATACTGTGTAAACACGCCATAAAACGAGGTCGACAAGAACTTCAGATCAAAATGTATAGTGATAAATATAAAAAAATACATTGTCCGGACAATTAGCCTACTGCTGGTTAAGACCCTCAAGAGAGCTAAGATATGTAGCCCGGAAATCATCTTTTATAATGGACGACGGTAATATCGCGCAAAATGTTAACTTCCCGGACACCTCTGTTTTGAGTTGACAACATTTTGTAATACTTGAGTTCATTGTGCACTAGTCCCCATCAATGTGCGGACGCTTATGAAAACATAAATAGAGTCAGGCCGATTCACCCCTTTTACCGTCTAATTTACGAGCGGTTAAAATGTAAAATTCAGCGTTGAAACATATTGTCGAGGATAATGCAATGGCGCGTATGAAGCATTGGTAAAAGGCGCGTATCTTCACAACATCCAATTTTTGCTGGAGTGTTACTGTGTTATTTCAATGGCTACGGCTTTAATTTTCGCACAGTAAGTATTAATTTAAGTTATTTACGGACTGATAACAATAGATTCCAGTAAATTAGGTTAATTTGGTTGCCACGATGTTTACGCGGATTTAGTTTAGCCACTTACAGAAATGGCAACTTCATACCGTATGCCAGTTACGCGTAATTGCCCAACAATATGTCTGAACTTAAATTTGAAAATTGTATTTTTTATTATTGTAGAACTTGACGTTTCGTTACAAATGTTCGACTGACTTTCAAATAATACGGCTAGACATCAGCTGGTCGTGGCGTCTGGCTACCAAATGCATACAATAAAATGGTCATGGTCGTTTAGTACGCGACTTGCTTATACTCGCGAGAACTTACAAATTCTTTTGCCAAGCGAAAGATTTACAACAACACTATTACGAACTCGCTCGTCACATCAATCCATGTGATTATGTACAAAACAGACAACGTCTCTTCTTAATTTTAGAGCAGAAGAAATTGGCAATATAATATAGGTTCCTGTCCCTAACATTTAACAACAAAGAATAAGTAATTCACTTACAAGTCAACTAAGTAACTACAAATACATAAGAATGAAAATTTCGCATTTAAAAAGAAATAACACAAAGATTTACTTAACGTAGCTTATTTGGTCTACAATTTTTGATTGCTATCTCAATTGATTAGAATTGTACTTCATTGCGTTAAAAATAAAATAAAATTTAAACTAAACATTTGGAAAGTCAATTAAATTAAAACGATACATAATAAGGAAACAAATAATAGGCAAAAGCACTTCTCCACTCAAAAAATATTTAAACAGATCTTACTTCATTTTAGTGACCGAAACCAAGGATGGAGCTATACTACGAAATGAAACGGACATATGAACACTGATTCTATTTTTTCGTACGCATACTTCCATCCCTATCGGTCAGTAAATGTATTATTAAGTCAGTATTATTAAGCTAAAGCTCTCAGCGTATACTTGTGATTGGCTAACGTGGTTTGTACCTCGATCGTCGTCGGCCGGGTGGCGCAATGCGCGGGCGCAGTCTTTCGTCAGAGCAGCGCGGCGCCTGCCTCGGCTCGGGAGTGAGGCAACGGCGGCCCGGCGCGCCACACGTCGTCGCGGGGGTCGTATATTTCTACGCTAAGGAGAGTTGTACGTGCCCGGTAGAAGGCCCGTTCCCCCCCGCTCTCGCTATCCCCTCCTGCGACGACGAGAACCCCCTCCGCCGCGCCGGCTGCACACCCAGCTCGCGCTTCTTTCATGCTTGCTACTTCCTCCCATGAGTCCTACAAAATTAAACGCCAGGTTTTAGTTAAATCTAGTGCCTACTAAACAATCGTAAAGTACGAATCCCTATTCGTATATTGGGTTAAATTCTGCAAAGATATCGTCACAACTACGCAGAGTAAAGTGCTAACTTGTATTCTTTTTTCTTATGAAAAAATAAGTGCGCATTGGACCGCCATTGCACTCGACGAAAAGTCATGTAAGTGAAATAATACCTATTCACTTTCGCCTTCAAAAGGCCCAACTTATAGCAATCAGCAATTGGTGAAATTACAGACACATGGGACTTGTAAGTTATGCCTCGGGGTGTCGGGTGCAGTGGCGGAGCCCCTCAGATCTTTGTGATAAAAAGCTCAGGCACACGACTTGTTCGTCCCGTCACAGTATTATAAAAAAAAAATCTGTGAATAATCTGTAGTGGTTAGCTATATAAATGTGGAAGTTTAACGCTTCGTGCAAATCCTGGGAATATCCACAACATAGGGCTGGCACCCAGCCTACGTCTAGTCCCTCGAGGACGGAAAAGGTAAGGCAGAATTAAATCGTGCAACTCTATCGCATGCTCTCAAGTACATTTACATGTTGCAGAAAACTTAATGGAAGGTAATGGACATGAATAAGAGAGGAACGTAGCTACTACATAGGGCGCACTATAAGTTTCCGGAACTGGCCACTAACATAAACAATATTTAAAAAGCAATTACAACATTTGAAAATGGAACTCTTTGGCTGTAGAATACAGTTGTTTCATCTGACTGTCACATGTTTTTACATTATGGCGTCATTTTAGAAATTGGTTGTCTACATCACCATGGATTTAACTCGTGAAAATTTTCGTAGTACGATTTTCTACGACTTTAAGTGTAATTTAACAGCTCAGCGGAGCTTCGCTCGGCTTCAAACTGCTTTTGGCGATGAAGCACCATGCAAGACGACTATTTGTAGCTGGTTTGCAGAATTCAAATGCGGTCGTGTGAGTCTCAGTGACAAATTTCGTGATGGTCGCCCGTCCACTGCTGAATTGAGTGAGTAACAAAAACATCGATGCTGTGCGCCGTATGATCAAAACAGACAGGCATGTGACATACCATGAGATTCGGGCATCTCTAGGCATGAGTCAAATACTACACAAACACTTGGGTGTGAAAGAGCTGTGCTTTCGGTGCATCCCACACAATTTGACTGAGGCTCAAAATACGGATCGCGTCACTTGGTGCAATGCCATGCTAAACATGTAGTAGTGTGGGACATAGTAACAGATGACGAAACATGGATTTATAGTTACAATCCCAAAACAAAGCAGCAATCGAGTGTAGGGGTCTTTCGAGATGAGCCGAAACCAACCAAAGTGGCGCGCGTGCAAAGTATGATTGTGATGTATGATGCCCCTAAAAGGATGATTGCTTCTTTTTTTAATAAAACTGGACACGTGGCTACTGTTGCTTTGGAAAATCGTTGTACCGTGAATAGTGATTGGTACCCGACCATTTGTTTGCCGTAAGTTATTGAGAACCTCCGTAAAAATAACCGTAATCTATAATCCTGCACGCCGATAATGCCAGTTCTCACACGACCAGACAGACAAATTAATTTTTGAAGGTGAACAACGTTGACCTTATGAGCCATCCCGCGTACAGTCCCGACCTGGCACCTTGTGACTTTTATTTATTTCCAAAAATTAAGAACCAGTTACGCGGTCAACGATTTTCATCACCTGAAGAGCCTGTTGAAGAGTATGAAAAATAAGTTTCAGAGATTGTCACGGAGGAGTGGCAAGAATATTTTCAAAATTGGTTCATTCGTATGAAAGAGTGCATTAACGCTAACGGAGAATATTTTGAGAAACAATAAATTCATTTCTGACCATTTATAGTATTTATTACTTATTCATTCCGGAAACTTATAGTATGTATTAGGTGATTAAAAAAATTGAAATATTGGAATTTTTTCCAGAAAAAAATCTGAAAAATTGGATATAGATATGCAAAACTAGAACCAACTCACAAAATGTCACTTTCGAGATAATTAGATTTTTGTAAAAACAGTGTAAAGAAATAAATAGGTAAGTTATTTGAGACAAACAACGTGAGTTATGTGTAGCATTGAGAATGATATAGGGAAACTATTATATTATATAGCAATAAATAGAAAACATTATGTATCTTTTTATTTAGTTAACAAGAACCATGTTCTAGTTTTCGTAATGAAAACGCTAAAGATCTACAGTACTTCAGTACATGTGACATGGATCCATTTAGCATATTTAAAAAAATACATTATATGAAGTTAATCAGCATGGTTCTTTTTAGCTATGAAAAAGTTACTTATTTAGGGTTGGTACCCTGAAGGACTTTTATTTTCTCCGTTTTGGCTTGGTATATTGCCAGGCTCTTTTGTGAGCGGATAAAGACACGTCTGGTGTTCTACATAATACATAAGTCAATTTCACTCGAGGTGTGGGTTGGTTCTTGTTTGCATAATTATGTCCAATTGGAAAAATATAATTCGAAAAATATAAAATCTTTTGAAGTTTATTTAACGTGAATTATAAAATAAAATTTGTATAACAAAAAGCAAGTTAAAGTAAAACAAGATTTAAAAGTCGATTGGACAACAACGAAAAAGGAATCATAGGTTAAAAAAATCTTCATAAAGGCATTATCGTTTTCGTTCAGTATCTTCAACTTTTGCGAGGTGTCAATTGTCAAACGTGGAAAAATATTCGGAAAAATATTATTATCAGAAAAATATGAATTTTTGAAAATGGACATTTTTCATGACCCAACCCTAACATGTACGGACAACGGCACATCAGACTACACATTTCCGTTCGAAAATCGCCTCCAGTGCAACGGATCAAAGATACGTCAATGTGTAGCGTGATGTGCTGGCGTGTGTACATTTAGTGTTGGGTCATGGAAAAATTTCCATTTTCAAAAATTCTTTTTTTACACGTACTGACCTCAACAAAGCTATATCTTTCAACGGAAGTGAGCACGCTGCGCCTTGGAGCATTTCCTCCGACGACGTATAGGTAGTTATCGAGGACCACAGCGGCGGCTTGGCTGCGAGCGTGGCGCATGGGCGTCAACGAATGCCACTTGCGGGACACGGGGTGGTAGCAGAGCAGGTCACGTGTGTGGCGCCATGTGTGCGTGCACCCTCCCACCACGAAGATAATACCTGCAAACGTAACAATAATAATATCTGTATTAGTTACGGCAAGTAAGTAAATAGGAATCGTAATAAATTACCTATTTCTGCCGGCAAGCAGTAATTCACATAAAAACATACCTAATTATTTTAATTTTAGCACTAATTCTTTTAGTACTTTTTGTAAGTACTAAAAAATTATTATTATTCTGTAAATAAAATATTATTAGTCTGTGAACAAATTATTATTATTCTTATGGCATTTAGGATTATTTTTTTATACTAAATGACGACAATAGCAACGGTCTTTTCTGTAATAGCTTTCGGAATATAAAAACGATGTTATGATTGAGTAACTAAGAACGCATCTGCAGCGATTCAGTGAGGAGCTTACACGATCCACGTTTGTAATGATTTAACAAAAGTGACCATAGATGCAACCGCTTATAAATCGCAAGTTTCGCGAAGCAATCGCGCGTTCTAAAAGTAGCCGAGTGTAGCTGCTTAAACACAGCAATTGTTATCGAGTTCTTGTATGTGCCATAATTAGTGTGTAAAGTTAAAGTTTTTAACTGAAATGTCACTGTCTTTATAATTACGAATTGTAAAAGAACAATCTTCCCAAATATAATTAATCTCTTCTTATTATCATTAACTTTTTTTTATATAATATTAAGAGACGGGACGAACAAGTCGTGCGCCTGATGGTAAGCTACACACCTATCTATAACAGTTGCAGTGCCACTCAGAGCTTTAATTCGCAAATATGTGAGGGGCACTGCCACTGCACCCGTCACCCTGAGACATAAGTTGTAAGTCCCATGTGCCTGTAATTTCACCAGCTGCCTTACCCTTCAAAACCGGAACACAGTAATGCTGACATTACTGCTTGCTGGCAGAAATAGGTAAGATGACAGTACTACCCTGAATGAACACTTTCACAAGGAGATCTACTGCTACTAAAATCTTAATTAACTTTATTAAAATTAACTTCGTAAATAGACAATAATTTTTTATGCTTTGTATTCCATTATGCTCTGATACTATGTTTGGCCGGCCACTGTGAAACTTTACTCACGATGTTTCTGTCATTTTTTGTACAACCTGTTGTATGTTTTCTATAAATAAATGAGTTTTGAATTATGAATAATTGTCACACTTGTCTGAAGTACCTTTAAAGACAAAGTTGTGATAAAAATGTATTACGACAATGTCTGCCAAAGTTACCATAGATATTCTGTGAACATACAGCATATTTAAGAAATTATTAATAAGCTACAAACCTTATATATTTTATAGGTAATGTAATTCACTTTATGTATCTTCAAATCTAATTAATTAATCAATGTGTATAATTAGTAATATAATGGTAATTCAATGTCTATTATTATGGACTATGTTATAGTAAAATGAATTTAAATTAAATCATACAATATTAATGCCGGAAACGTAAATTGTTGACGAAAATGGTTTATTTACTTACGTAAACAAAAAAAGAACGTAAAAAAAAAAGAATCTAATAATTCAGTCCATTCATGTGCAATGAGACAATATTATGTTACAATTTAAAAAACGCTACAAATTAGATCAGAACATACCTTCATAAGTAATAACGCCCATTCCAAACCTAGGTTCGGGCATGCGCCCCGTTAACGTCCACTCGTCAGTAACGGGGTCATAGACCTCCACTGAGGACCCCATATCTGACCCAACCCATCCACCGAATGCGTACAAATTCCCGTTCCAACCGGTCAACCCGAACTCGCACCTTGCTTCTTTCATTGGCGATATATTTGACCATTTATCTTCCTGAAATTTAAAGAACCAAAAACTTCACTATTATTATTATATTAACAATCAGCAGTCATCATCCTCATTTTTTTATAGTAGTAAAAAATACGTAAAGTTTTAATTAAAAAAAAAATGCCAAAGAAAGTGGAGTTTCACTGATTTAGTTTAGGGGAAATGAAACAATTTTTTGGATCTTAGTCGCGTATTATTTGTTTTTTCACAAGCCAACGTTTCGGGCCCTTCACAGGTCCCATGGTCACGGCTGACTAAGATCATAAAGACCGATGTCTAATATTAATGGAATCCACCGTATCTTTCACTGCAGTCACAAAAGTTGTTAATAAAAACCTAAGATTTTATCATTTTGTACATTACAAAGAAAACAAGTTCTACAAGATATTATATATCTTTACATATCGTCCCTGGAAATGCGAATGTATTAAAGCGCCTTTTTGGCGTTTTGGAGATTAGTAATTTCGCCTTTCGAGAAACGATATAATAATAATAATAATAATAAACTCATTTATTTGTCGGAATAGGTACATGGTACATTGATACATTTTATAAAGAATACAGTGGTACAAAATAATCCGACAAAACGGTCTATGACTCAGCGGTCGCGGGGGTCCCACGGCCTCTGTTATTCTGCCATAACCTTATTTAAATATTATAAACAGTTATTTCAGGACATCGAGACTTAAAATTAAAAAAAAAAAATCAATCCTATCAGTATCTGTATGTTGCAAGCGCAAGAACCTGCTGTGTAAGTAGCCATTCGCGACAGTACTTACGAAAAGTTGGAAGTGTACAATTAAATTGGATTTTACGGATGGATGGGTGGCGGTATATCATTCCAAATTTTAGCGGATGCGTACTTAAAGCAACCTCCTGCGCCAGCCAATCTCATCTTTGGCACACATAACATGGGACCTCTATCCCTAAGTGAAAGTACATTTTTTTTTTTTTGGGCTCAATTTATCGTATAAATACAACGGACACCCGTCGTGTAGCAACCTGAACAGAAAACATGCATATTTGAGCGTACAAGTGTTTGACATATTGAGTTGCCGTCTCTGAATAAGATGTGGTGTAATTCTACTTCTTCTAGGTATCACATAACAGAATCTCATGCATGCGTTCATAATAACCATAACGTTTGCTCAGTATTCAAAATGTTTACCTTTGGATCATAAACCTCCCCATTGGCTAGTATTTGACTCCCCTGCTCCCCTCCAACGGCGTAGACTTTCCCGCCTAAGGTCGCTACTCCCGGTTGTATTCTTGCTATTCCCATTGATTCTAGGTCTTCCCATTCGCTATAATAAACAATGTTATACATTTCAACATTATCAATATCAATGACATATCCAGCAATGAAAAATTATAATTCCTGATGTGGTTAATAATAGTCATGGAGGTCTGTTCTTCGTCTTAAAAAAAGAAATATAAAATTTGTGTAATTGTTTTTCATTTGCAGAGAGCACTTACCGTTTATGCAAGTCAAACTTGAGTACAGATGAGAGTATATTGTCAGAGAACACTGGAGGGTTGGTTGTGAATTCCGTAGATCCTCCAGCAACTAAGAGGAACCGTCGAGCGCGTGCACGCGGTTCGGCTGCAAGCGGTACTAGAGCACCTCGACCAGTTTTCTGCAATAGTACACAAAAATATGTGAAGAATTACATTAATAATAGTATTGAATGTACAGTAAAATAGCTATTATTATTATTATCATCATCATACCCCATCAATTATACCATTACTTGAGTTAATTGAATAAAAATAACTGTCAATAATTACTGCATAGTTAACTTGAATGAGAATAAGGCAGATTCTCATAATTGCTACGAACCAACACACCCCTTTTTTTTGCAGAGTATTTGATCTATTGTGCATACATAGTTATTCTTTCTGAAATATTTCGAACAACCCTAGTTGACACATTTTTGAACTAACTGTATTTGTCATGATAACAGAAACATTAACATATACCATATCTACAGTCACAGTTTTCAAAGCCACTCCTATTGATGGATCCTGTATGCTCTTTATAGCCTCGTCTAATATCTGCGGTGCGATAAGCGGTAGCCTAACGTGTCTGAGGACCTCGAAGCAGTGGCGCCTGCGGCCCGCCGGGTCATGTTCCAGCCATCTTATTGCTGGATATAATACCTGAAATGGGGGAAGAATACATAATGTCAAAGATGTTGACATACATACCTACTCTATACTCTGAATGAATATAATATTAATATGTTACAATGTTCTACCCCTCATGGAAGAATGGCATAATCGGAGTTACATCAAAAATGTTTATTGCTTCATTAGATACAGAAAAAAGGTACAGGAAAACAAAAAAATACAGGTAAGGTTACAAGAATTGGAGAGGATGTGGGTTATATTTTTCTGTATCTAATGGAGCAATAAACGTTTTTACCGGAACTCCACTTATGCCATTCTTCCATGAGATAAAGACATGATTCTGCCCTCCTTGTAATAAATGCATTTGCATTTGGGTAACTTTCGATTCTCTAGTATTCTATTGTAAATTATTAGACTATTTAATTTCATATCGGCACCTTTTTGTTCTTCCATATTAGCCAAAATTTTTTGTTCATTGAAAAATGTCAATTATGTTATTGTATGGAATGTAAATAAAACTGAAACATATTTTAAAAAACGCTTAAGCAGTTTGTAGATCTCGATCTCGTTTTGCTCATTCTAGGTAGGTCAATAACACAATTTCGCTAAGAACGTCGATTACGTTAGTTATATAAAAACAGATATATTCATAAAAAAGGATTGCATTAATCCAGGGTATAGTTAAAAACTGCATTGTAAAACAATTAGGGAAACAAACCCAACGAACTAGGTACTGGTTGATGCTCTTGACTGGCTTTCTTTCTCTCTTCTGGATGAAAGTCCTAAGTATTAATCCAGGATAATATAGACTATGTAACTGTCCACGAAATTTAGTCTAAAATCATGCTCTACATTACCTGTGATTCATTGTCAACTTTTAACTGTTCTGAAGACAGCAGAGTGACCAGCTGCGCCAGTGGCAGCTCCAGGAGTTCATCTCCATTGGCTACAATGTTCCAATTGATCTGTGCATGTTCTAATGCCTCGTTTGCTAACTCGCGACAGTTGTGAGCTTCTGCAAATCTATTTTGAGAATTTAAATTACATTTTTATGGTAACAGCTCATACAAAGTATATACACAATCAATGTTACCATCTAATTTTCTTCTGAAATTCTGAGAACATCATCAGACTCGTTTGCAAGTAGTGCACATATATTAAAAATAAAACAAACCTAAAAATTCCAAGGGCATTAGAAGGGTGCAGTTCTCTGCGTAAGAACTCTCCACATCCAGTAACCAGCTCTCGGAGCTGTAGCATGTCTGCAGCTATCAGCAAGTGCTGCACTGTTGTTTTGTCTATTGTTATTTCACCTGAAACAGTTAAGGTTTCCATTGATAGGCAAGTAGAATGTAAGATGTTTTTTAATCTATTGTTTATTGAGGCTTTAGCCACCTTGAGTGACTGTGTCAGCCTCATGGGAGGAATAGTAGGTTCCCTACACAAGGGACATGTGCAAAAACTTGTACAAGTTTAGAGTGCCAATATTCCCATTCAATATGCTTATATTCCCAAACATTGTACCTCACAGGGTTACGCTATGGTTACATTCCACCAATACATGATACAGATACTCTCTTTTATTGCAAGTACTGCACAAAGGGGATGGTTTAAAACGGATGGTTATGAAAGAATTTATTAGTTGGAATGTGACCAGAACGCAGTCTAAAAGCCGATACAAGATATTTCCTTGCTATATTGACAGAATCAAACTGTGGATTACTCTGAATGGTTCAGTACCATATTCCAAGGCCTATATCAACCAACTGTTCTCCGAAATGCTATTCCCATTTTTCTAGAGTTCTTTTCTTAATTTAGTGGAATAATCTCGGTGGCATAAGGTCTACAATCGAGTACAGTACCATTTTCAGCAGTTTTTTTTTTTCAAGGACTTCAACTTCGTTACTGAGTAATCCCACAGGGAGGGACTTAATATTCTGTCGACTAATATTGTAGATAGAGTTACAAGAATTGGAGAGGATGTGGGTTATATTTTTCTGTATCTAATGGAGCAGTAACATGTTTGACGTAACTCCACTTTTGTATTCTTCCATGAGGGGTGCTATTTGTATGATATTGAAAAATGCTATGTGTTGCCTGTAACATGGCATTTCAATGTATCTGATAATTGACTGTAAACAAATTAATGCATTCAAGATGTATGAAGTCAAGAAGGTATGAGTGAGATCCTTTAATGGACATTTCTCACATTCATTTCTATAAAAAATAGATACTGATATTAATAATAATATAATTTTCTATGCACATTTTTTTTTGTACTTAACAAAAGGATAATACACCTAAATGATAGGTAAGCACTACTTATAGCAAATTGCTTGGGAAAAGACTGGTTATTATGAATACAGCTGCTGATTAAAATAGAACTATCCTAGTTTTATACAGCAACAACTGCAGATAGGTACAAATTTGTTAGGTACATCTTGAGGATAATATAGCTAGAGTCCATACAAACTGTAAATTCCCCATTAAAAGTATACTCCACAATCATTAAGTCAATGTCCACAATGGTTAATATTTGTTATACCTATCCCAAAATAACCATACACTTCAGTGTCACTGTAGACACGAAATATATGTAAGTGAGTTACAATTTATTACATTCTAGTTTCTGATAGTATTACAAACAACAGAAACTTATAATAAGCTGGTTTAAATTTTAGGTGTTGTACCGAGTATTTATAGTTTTTTATTTATTTTTTAATTAGGAACATTAACATCATTATGTTTACAACACATTTTTATCTTATTTTACTTGGGTGTTCTACATTGTAAATACAACAATTTTATTATAAGTGTTGACGGGTATCTCAAAACAACATACACAAACTAAATAAACATTCAACAAATTAACATTACATATTTAATTTTAAAGGTCTTTAGTAAACGTGACGTCGTAGGGGGATTGAGGGGTGTAGGGGGAGGGGAGGAGACCACCCCTGCAAAGTTTCAAAGTTGATATATACGTTGATAGTTTTCGAGATATTAATTTTTGAAAATTCGAAAAAAAGAACCTCAAAATTATATATTTTCGCACCAAATGCACGGAAAAAAGAGTAAAAAATGTGGGAATATGGGATAGGCGAGGGGAACCCCCCTACGAAGTTTCAAGCTTAATAATAGTCTTCGAGAAAAAAAATTTGTTAAAAATAACCTCAAAATAGGCGCCTTGACGTCGAGTTGCAGACACCAGCCCGTTACACCTAGTACCAACCTCTAAATCATATATTTTGACGTTTAGTCCACACGGACTCCAATATCTACCTATATCGATCCAATTCATCTTTGCCCAGAGGGATTTCCGCGTTTGTATAAAAAAAAACCTATCTTAACCTAAATATAGGAAATGAAACTATTTTTCCGGATTTAAATCGCGTATATTTGTTTTTCAAACAAACCGACGTTTCGGGCCCTTTACAGGTCCTATCCGTATAGGTAACTGTACGGGACGGCCGCTTGTAATAAATTAAAATAGTTTTAAGTACATACTTATCATATAGGTGTAACTTACTAGTTTCATAATTAAATATATTTTTGGTTCGGACTTTTACTTCGCAACTAGTAATTAAGTACAATAGATAGTAAATAGAAATAAAAGGCAAGCTTATTTTAGGAAAAGATTTCCTCAACAGAATATGTAGATATAAAGTGTTAAATAAAACCGCGGCTCTCGTCACGGTATTGCTGAGGTCTAGCTGAGCCGCCCGGCTCTCGTTAAGGTATTGCTCGAGCCCACCTCATAGCTTCGTATGCGGCCGTGTCCCCCCCGCGCCTCCCCGCGCTTCGACCCCGCAAACGCTGCGAAAAGGATAAAAGGCGCGCGCGACACGGCCAACGCGTTCACTCCAGCGCCGAGCTCGCCCGCAACAGCAACAAATAAACAGAAGACTCCGGCCCGCATTCAGTCCAGCGCCAGCCCGCAACAGCGACTATAGAAAAGACCTCAACAGTATAAAGCTGCAATACGGCTGTAACCAGCATTTTTATTTCGACCCTCACCGTCTCGGAGCGTAAAGAACCACTAGCTCAGTGGCGGTACGAATCCCGTGCCGTACAGTAACTAACCCTATTCGTCTTTGCCCAGAGGGACTTCCGCATTTGTATAAAAAAACCTAACTTATCTTAAATATTCCAACTCGTTTCTGCCCAGAGGGACTTCCACATTTGTATAAAAAAAACCTAACTTAACCTAAATAATCCAATTCATTTCTGCCCAGAGGGACTTTTGCGTTTGTATAAAAAAAACCTAAATAATCCAATTCATTTCTGCCCAGAGGGACTTTCACGATTGTAATTTAAAAAAACCTAACAATCTTTATACACAACAAACAATAACATAAATACGCAATAAAAACACTCTGTAAATGGCTACAACACTTACTGTGAAAAGCCAAGAGAAATAAGAAAAAACCAAACATGATAAATGATGTTGTGTTTCTTTAATTATCATTATTATTTCAAAGTAACCTTCATAAGAAATAATAATTTAAATATACTGTAAATGCTATTAAATAAGTAATAGTGTTTAGAAAACCAATAAAACATAATATACTTCCAAAATTTAAACAACACATGATATAACTACAGTGGAATGTCAAAACGCAAGACATTAAAATGCGTCAGCGTGCTTTTTTGACATAGTTTTCACATTAGGTAGTTGTCAAATGCATTTTTTTCCTTTAATTTTCACGATTTTCAAAAATTATTTTCTCGAAAACCTTTGGTGTCCTAAGTCTGAAATCTAAAACTGAAAATTTGTAGAGGGGTTCCTTTTCACTAGGTCTATCTCCAAAATTAATTTGAACATCACATACACTAAAGTTGAGCCGCTTAAGACTGATAAAGCTATCAAATACCTGTATATATAAAGTCTATAATCATTGGCAAAATGTCAGGAGGCACACTGGGCAGTGCAACATGACCCTTCTGGCTTTCCTCTAGTCCAACACTAAACATTGCGTCAAAATATGCACAGCTTGCCGCCAAAACTACACGGTGTGCCTGTAAATAGAAATTACGGGCGTAAAAATAAACATGCAAAGTATACCGTGACGTCTGAGAAGAATAAACAACAGTTGACTGAAAGCACTGAATCAACTCGTTACGCCAACTGATTTTTCAACATGACTCATCACGTGCGGCACCAAAAAATTTATACCTTCACTCTCGTATTCCCTGATATTAAGTCTATGTCACAAAATCGCCCATCTCTCTTGAAATGGTGTAAATTCGACGAAATCTTGTTGGCGTAATCACGGCTCTTATACGGACGAGCTCCATCCTTATTGGAACTTTTATCATATAGTTTCGAAGACATATTTCCAGTGTACACTTATTACTTCATAATTAAGAACTACTACGCTACCGTGCAATTAATATATTAATAAAGCAAAATCAAATAAACCCTTCCCTTCTTTCACTTTTTGACATTACGGCAGTGGGTATGTTCCAGTCTAAAGAAAATGCTGTATATTGAACAGCGCAGATGGACCGGATGTTGACGAAGCAAAGGTCGCGAACGTACACATACTTGGTTTGGTCAGGGAGACCATAGAGAACACGAACAGTTTTCTTAGCTCGCCCCGTAATGCACGAAAAGCCTTAGGAAAAATAACGCGAAATGTGACGTTGACGTTTGCCGTGACATTTCAGAATTTTCAGTTCGATCGTACGAGAGTTTTTCAAAAATATTGTGAAAAATAATGCTAACATCTTTGAAAAAAATTTTTAAATGGAGCCCGACAAAAAATTTGGATTCTAAAAAAACCCAGACTTCACTTTTACTGGCAGCGTTTATTGGACTTCTTGAGGATATTTTATTTTGGAAAAAAATGTGGCTCTCTTTGTCTTGTATTTTCTTTTTGAATGTAATATTTTTGTAAGTAGTACAATTGAACGTCCTTGGTAGACCAACGTAACTTGTTTTCATAACATTAATGCGTAAATTAAATTTCTTATCTTTGTTTTCAGTGTATGCATTCATCATCAGATCAACTTTTTAGAATTTATTTTTGGATTTTGTGCTACTATTTTGTGTGTTGATGCATTCGAAGTTTGGCTCAAGTATAAACACAGGACCAATTGCTTGAAGAAGCTGGCAAGTCATGATAGTACTAAATTTAATAAAGTGGCATTAAAAATAAAGGAGTTAATAAGATATAAGTGGATGGAATTTATTCAACTTCGACAGTATAATCACACCAAGGTAAATAAATAATTGCATTACTAATTACCAGGCTTAACATAAAATAATAATTGTTGTTGATATGAATGTTGACATTATTTTTGGAGTTTTGAAATTATTGATAAGAAAAGTAAAAAACACTGGACACTATCTAATACAAATACTGTTCTGTAAGCACACCTTGACTTCCTATTGTTTAAATACTGACAATGACATATTTTTTTTACTTTCTGTTTAACACAATTTATTTACAATTGCAATTTTAAAGTGATATTATTTTCTAAAAACAAAAATTTTGCATTATTACAATCTAAATGCAAATAAATATTGTCAATATTTGTTACTTAAGCTATGAGGCTTTTAGCTTCAGTCTGTTATGTAAACATGGAAGAATTATTGAACAGAATTGAATCTGCTCTATGTCTAATGCCTTAATTAATTTTTTTATATAAATGCTAGACGTTCTGAACATGTATAAAACAATGCCCAATTTGGACTTTCAAAATTTTTAGGTTGTGACCGATTGAAAATTTATTTCCATCTAAATATATGTTACAAAATAATATAAGTTTCATTCATAAAACTTTGAAATAAGTTGGAGAAAAAGATATGAACTTTTAAAAATTTGTAAAAAGGCATAGTAAATATTTGTTTTTGAATGTGACATAACTTACATTTTGACATTCTATTTAAGCCTTGTGAGATAGTTATGAACAAAAGTTACAATAATTGTGATATATAGCCAGGGCTGGGCAAAATACATGCTACATCTAAATTGAAATACAAATTACAAAATACTTCCTTAAATGTATTTAAAATACAAAATACCAAATACTTTCTTGAGCTGTATTTGAAATACAAAATACAAAATACTTTCATGGGGTGTATTTAAAATACAAAGTACAAATACACATTACAAAATACTTTATTAGTATACCTATCGCGATATGTGGAAGCCAACAATTTCCACAATACATATCTTGAAAAAGAAGTTTTATATATTCAGTTTTACCAGATAACCGCGAAAAAACGACTTTGACATCTTTGACAATAACATGCACTGTTGCCACCTGCAAATGTGCTTCTACTGCATTGAATACGAGTATTTAAGATGTCGTGAGTGTTGTGTGTCGGTCTAATGAGAACCCTAGTGCACAAATAAATAATGAAGATCAAATGCGGGTAGTTAGAAAAACTCGCACGGCTAGAAGATGCTGACACCCGCCTCTTCAGTCCCTTCGACACCATGGACGTTGCAACATGTCCAAAACGTCGAGGTAAATAAAATATGTTTTATACGTGATTAAGTTCCAAATTAAAAATCACATAATTTCATACTTCATTTTTCGAACGTACCGTTTCACACACACACGTCACCATTGAGTTCAATATCATATAAATCTTTGCACGTCACATAATAGGATGTACATTAAAAAAAAAAAAAAAAGTATTTTGTTGTAATGTATTTTACAACGAAAGTATTTGAAATACAAATTACAAAATACATAATGGTCAGATATTTGAAATACCAATTACAAAATACATTTTTAGGGTGTAATTGAAATACAAATACAAAATACGTATTTGTATTTTAAATACGTATTTCAAATACAAGTAATTCAAATACTGCCCAGCCCTGTGTATAGCCAATGATGTTCATCTTCAATTTCAAAATTATCAGAAAATTCAAAAACAAATTGTCTCAACATTGGAGAAATCAAGTTAAGTGTAAACAAGACTTCAAATTAAATGGCAAAATCTTCTGCTAAAAAAAATTCTGCTACGTTAAAAAATAAATGCTAAGTACACATTAAATTTTAAAGTATTTTTAAGTTATATCTTTTTGCACCATTTATACCTCATTCGTCTGCAATAATGAATGTAAGTATAACTTTTAATGGGTACCCTAAATAACGCACACACTCAACATAACCCCACACTAGGGAAACCCTGTGTCGCGAGTGCCATGGACACTCACATAGACAACCACAAATTACACCCAAACTCATGAGAGAAATAAATGTAGGCCATACAAACATTTCTCCTGGCCCGGGAATCGAACCTGGGACCTCTGCGTGGCAGTCCGGCATGGTAACCGTTCGGCCACGGAGGCAGTTAAACCCTACTATACTTACCTTTGAAAAGAACTTTGTACTACAAAGTAACATATCAATGTTTATTAATAATATAACCTCAAACAAAACTTTTAAATCAACGTTCCCCAGATAAAAACATATAAATCCAGTATAATAAGAAACTATATAAAAATACCAATGGAACCCTGTGTCTGCGATTGATGGTTGTAAACTTTTTTAGCTAGTCTAGAACTGTATGGTGTTGGGCATTGTTCTTTCCCTAACCACTGCTACATCATACATACTCTTGTTATTTGATTTAATTGTATGTATTGCCCCACTTCCAAGCCAAAGGCCATTTCTCATACTTTAACCTGATGCTACTTATTGTATATTTTTCAGGCATACCTACTAGTCAACATTGTTTTTGGAACAATTTTGCTGCTTGGAAAGTTCATAAGTGGATATATATTTCTCTATTTGCTCTGTATGTCACTATGCCTTATGTATAAGTTGGCTCCACCTGTGCTCCGAATTATTAAAAAGATTCAACAAAATGCAGGTATGTATGTATAATAATAATAAATAACGCACACTCATACTCATAGCCTCTAGGCTCTAAGAAAACCCTATATTGCAGGTGTCATGGACACACACATAGACAACCACAAATTATACCCAAAGTCACAATAAATAAATGTAGGCTATACAAATATCCGGGAATCTAACCCGGGCATGGTAGACCAGTATGGTAACTGCACGCCCATAGATTCAGGTTTCAGGTTATTTTTGTTAATAATAATGTGCTACACCATTTTGCTCATCAGACCATCCAGACCAGAACCAATTTAGACTACTTAATTTCCCAAATCGGTCCTGAGAATCTAGGCTGGGACCTCTTCATGTAATGTTCACAGTGCTTACCTACCACTGCGCTATTGAGGTTGTCTTTATATTTATTTTAGAACTTGGTAATATTTTTTTACAACTGCTTTTATTTTTTTTAAGATCATTGGTCTTGTTGGTGTAGGATCCTCAATGAGAGAGCTAATATGTGGCTTAGTACAGGAAGTACTAGAAGTAGTACTTCACTTAAGTCCCTATTATAATACGCTTTTTTTACTCATGTATGCCCACAGACATGTGTGTACTTAAATGCCATTAATTTTTAACAGAATCTGATGGAGAATTGGAGGGTCTCATTCCTGAGGAATCTGAAGTAAACATCAGATTGCTATCCATAGAACCTGAGCAGCCTGTGGCAGATGAGAAGCAAAGCTTGGGTACAAATTTTCTTCCTTTTTTTCTATTGAATACACCCTGCATTTTAACTTATCACAAATGTAATTCTGTGTGTTTAAAGTAGTATTTTTTGAAAATTTTTACTTAGTAATATTATGAATATTGATAGTAAAAAGTAATAATAATCCTATTACTTCAGTGTCTGCCCTTTTTTTGGCCACTTTGTTATAAATTGCATATTCACTATAGTGCAAGTTTCTTAATTTATTCTCTTACAGATTTCTGGAAGCCAGATGATTTGCCCATAGAAGAAATAAGTGATGATAGTTCAGAGCACAGTACTTCCCTTGTTACCAATTTATCAATGGAGAAGATGCGTACTCTCAATAAAGATGTTGAAACATCAGACTCCAGTGAAGACGAGTACATACCAATAGGTTGGTGAATAATGTACCTATAGATTTTGATAATTATAAGTGGGAAATAACAAAGGTTCCAAAAAAAAAAACAAAATTGCAGCGAAGTGTAGCTAACTGTACTATACTAACAATGCTACGTTAAAATGAGTTACTGAAAAATAAACATAAAATATACCGACAAAATTATTTATATTTAGCAATCAATCAAGACTTCTAATTCTAAGAAAAAATCTGCACTTCCGACATACTAAACTTCGAAAGAAATACTATCTTGCCGAAAATACATATTATATTCTTTAAAAACATTTTCACCACACTGTAGGGATTTGTTTAATTTATATATTATTATGTAAGGATAATAATTAATGTTAAACCTAACTCGCCGTGGTACTTGTCTGTTCGATACTAGAGTATAATTTAAAAGCCGAAGGTGTGGAGGGAGTAGTGTTTGTTTTCTACAATACTGGATTTCATGGTGGATTAAAAGAAAACAAATGTGTAATAGGTACACGAAGCGAAGATGGGTGAAGAAAGACGCTTAAATCTCCAAATGCGCAACGGCTTTTATTGACGTAGTTGTATGATCGACATAGGAGACGTAATCGCGCTCATCCTCGATGTTAACTCACCGTCCCACTCGCTACAAGCGGTAGCCGACGAATAAGAACGACGATGCTATGAGCTTTCATCCAAGTATCCCACAAGGTGGAAGTACTGGAATACCACTCATAGGCCCTATTATTCAATACAAAGCTATTTCCTGTTGCAACTTAAATGGTAATACATACTTAACAGTTCGATAGCGCATTATATTTTGATCCCAACGTCATCTAGCGGCAAGGCGAGGTTACTAATATTTTTTGTACGTGGTACAAATGTATTTTACATAGGCCAAATCTTGGTTGCACACCTTATTCAGTAGATTAGGTTAGTATATGAAAAAGCAGCACGAGAAGCGAAGCGAACGTGTCGCGGAAGCGGCCGGCGAGCACCAGAAGCGAATTTTAATTGCGTTCTCGAAGATGTTTTCAGGTCAAATTAAATTATAATTAATATAATTTACGGTAAAATGGCTAATAATAATTTGGCATCCGACGCCTACTTGTTAGTAAATACAGAGATAAGACCACAAAAACGTAAAAACACACATTATTACGCTCGAGGCGCCGACTACTGCACCACCTCACCAGAACCTGGATGAAATGACGAAGCATCAGTGCAACGAGATAAGCCGCTAACGGATTTTTTGGATTGAAGAATTGGATTTTCAGGTTGCTGTTTAGACTAGAACGCAGTCTCGAGAGTAGTATGCAGTCTTCTTTCGCATCACAGCAAAAAAGTCATCTACTCGCGCTTGAGCAAACATCGACGATGCGCTACAGTGTCGCGGTTGTCCCAACAGCATCCTGAAATCGTTATTATATTGAATGTGCAGGGCGCCAAGTGCCTTCTGCATATAGTTAACCCACAGACCACCTGCGTAGAAGGATTGACAATATGCCTTGAATAAATTTATTTTGGCTTCCTCACTACAACGGGCGATTCTAAGTGCATACACGTACAAAATATTACATCTGGCAGCCAACACCCTACATTCAATATCAGTTTGGTCCTTAAGATCCTCCATCAAGTAATGTCCTAGGTATTTAAATTTGCAAACCCTCTTTTGTGCCATCTCATTAAGGTTAATCCTAGGTTCATAAGACGTCACTCTACCAGGAATCCCACAGACCATAAACTCACTCTTAACACAATTTGTTTAGAAGGCCGTGCGTAGTAGTATACTGCTCACAAAACCGAAGCAGCTCCGCAATCGAATTCGCTATTGTTTTCAGTAAAATATAAATTAAAATAAGTTGGTAGAGTAGGTAGTTTTTTTAAAATCATTTATTTTGGAAGTGGTCCACAAATTGTTAGTAAATTACAAAATGCTTAGGTCTAAGGGTTAGTTAATTGTACAATACATAAGAACAGCGACACAAAAACAAAACAACATTTATTTTCTATACGACCACATATAGTCCCATCCAATGCGCGAGCAACGGCGAGTCTCAGCGTGCGGACAACGCGCTCAAGATGAGGTTGGGGCTGTCGCGCAGGCGGTGCAGCATCGAGGCGCACCTCTTGCGTATGATGGCTGCAAACCCGTCCGTGTGCGCCTCCGCGAACATATAGAACTACAGAAGCGCGACAGCCCCAGCAAAACCCGGAACGTATTACGTTAGCAAGATTTTTCGGAATTTTCAGTATTTATTATTTCGTTCGGTTATTTTGGTATTTTTATTTGCACCAGAGTTTCCGTAGCTTAGTAAATAACACAGTAATGTTCGTATTTTGAATAAGCTCATTTTTAACTTACCTTTCGGAGCTTTGATTTAACCCTTTATAAATATAAAAATAATCTATGGTTTGCCTTGTGTTGTTTGTAGTTTTACATGTAGTTTATTATTTACTTTACAGATCAGCAAAAGGAACAATTGCAGTCAACTTTGGAAGTTAATCAGCCTTCAACTACTTGGGGAAGTTCTGCTTACAACGCCCTTTTCAACATCACTGGGGCTGTAGCTAATATGATGTCTAATGCACCAGAGGATAAAACTAAAAGGAAGAGAGTATCAAGCATTGATTCCTCAGACGGTTTTGAAATTATCGATAAAAATGACTTAAACTAGGAGCATATCGAAAAACAGTAACGCATTATTTATAGTATTTATTGGTTTTACCTTAAACCTATAGTAACATTTTTATTGTGCTATAATTTTTATTACATAAAAAAACCTAAACATTGCAAGACATGTTCTCCATTTTGGCCATGAGTTCCTGGTGTCGTTTCTTGAGCGCTCGTAAGCGCACGCCGTTGAGAGCATTGCGAGCTACTAGCGCCTCCAACATCGGCCTGGACATCTGAAAGGTTATTGTTATATCATCTCAGTGTTGTATTGCTAAACTTGTATAAGCCGGGTCATATTAAAGAATAGAATGAATTTCATGGTGCAAAAATAAACCACCTTTTCAACAATATGGCCAATAGCAATAGTTCGAACAGCATCATTGTGTTGTTTATTTATAATATCTTCCGATTCCGTGAGACCAACTTCGTTGTTGTATGCTTCATCTTCTTCCTCCTTCAATATCACTGGTAGTTGTGTTAAAATCTGTAAAATAATATTGAAATAACTATACATTGTGCTAGATGGTGTCATAGAATTTAAAGAAAAATAATTGTAGTTATAGTTATTTAAAAATGTACAATATGTTTGTTTGTATGTGGCTATCTATTAGTTGTAGATTAACTTGGGAAAAATATTTTGTAACCTCTTAATTTTACAACAATACAGGATTGCCTATTAGGTAGGCAATAAGAAGAAAAAATCTGATTTTTTTAAAAGTTACAAACCTCAAAGTTGTTTGCCATCAATGAATCATTGTTATTAATAATCTCCATTTCGATTTCTTTCCTGGTTTGACTAGAACCTTCATTGATCGATTGGAAACAAGTAATTTGGACCTGAAAAGTACTTAATATCAGTTCTAACTCGGCTTCACTAAATAACAAATAGGTTTAAGTGGTCTGAGATACTTGTATCTATACAACATCTCATATATGTACAAACTAAACATTGATTTTAACTAATTTAATTCACGTCCTTGGATGACACTCAGAAATGTAAGTAAGTATCCACAATTATATTTCAACCAATCAATTTACATTACGACGTCGTAAAGGCTTTTTAGTCTTTTTTTATGTTTAGTTATTGTCTGTGATTTTATAATTTGTATTTGCATTTTAATTCTCATTAAAAATTAAGTTGAACATGTTACCATAGAACAGAGTTGTCCAAAATGTGCTTGAATTTCTGTTACAAAATTATGTACGATGAAAAACATTTAAAGGTTTGCTTACATACATCAAAGAAATAGTGTGTTTTGTAAGACATTTTAATTCAAACTCATGACTTTAAAATACCTTCTTGTAAACAACATTATTATGTTAAATTGTCGTTATAATAATTACATGTTAGATTAGGGGAGCCTTCAAATTAGATGCTTGTAGGAGCGCGACTGTGGTGCCGCAATTAAGCGACTGCAAAGTAGTGCGCCACTGCAGAGTTTCTATTAGCTTCTTATTCGAAGGTGCCCTAATATTCTAATATAATGTAACTTACTGATGGGGCTTTTGTACTTTGCTCTGTGAGAAACACAGCAAATATGATGCCTACAAAGCTAGGATCCATCCGTTGATACATAAACTGTGTAGCAAGATCTGTAATAAGATATTTATTTTAAAATAGTTGGGTGATAAATAACTCTCATATACATTACATAATATATCTACTTACATTTTTTGTTAAAACTTGTTTGTGAATTAAACTTGTAATTCAAATATGTCTTGTTTATTTTCAGCTTCTAATGAGCCTTCAAATTACACACCTGTAGAAACGCTGCAGTGGTGCGCCAACTGAGCCACTACTAATTGTCATACAACATTTAATCTGCAAAAGTGGCGCGACTGTGCACTGCAGCTGTATTTCTAAATGTTGTATGAAAATTAGTAGTGGCATGGCTGCAGCACTTCTATAAGCTTCTAATTTGAAGGCACCCTTACTGTATAAATATTAATACACAGATTGGACACAAATATAAATTCCTTTGATCTGGCTGGATTTGCACATGCACTTTCAGCCGAAGTAATTTCCCAAAAAACAAAATTGAATAAAACCAAATACAAAGGACATTCAAGTACATAGAAAAATTTGTGAGGACCGCTGGTTCGTTCTTAGTTGGTGTAGTGTCTGGCATAGTATGCTAGAAGATGGTTCGATTCCGGCTGGATCGAAGAAATTTTTTCTGAGTGTTCAATCTTTGTATTAATTATAACAAACTAGTGGAGTAATTTTTCAAAAAATAATTGAATATCAATTCAATAAAAATTTAAAAAGATATTACAATATTCAATAAGTATACACAGACTGATAACAAAATAAATACAAATTATTCTTGCTGAACATAAACCCCACCTATGAAAACTCACAGGATGCTAAACATTGTTTACATACCCACATGTGATGGCCAAACCGTAATGTGTGGATGTGAGTGATACCACCCCACAACTCTGAGAGGTCTGCCTAATTCTGCAGCCAGTTCCTCGGCCTTCAATGTCGCCTGCACTAATTGTTCTTCAGATATCTCTACACGGTCTGGCTTTTTGTCCAAACGCCGCAGTATTACTGAAGATACTATAGATACCACGCTACCATTGTTGTGTACCTGCAATGAAAGGTCGATTGTTTATGTATATATAGAGAATGTACTGTGACAAGCGAGAGTGAATTCACAAAGTACAGTAAAACACTGTGTTGCGAGATAATTTTATTCCTAAATAACTATAATCAAATAACACTTTAAAAGTAATTAATTACCTATTAAATCTTTTGGCTACTTACTTCACCAATGAGTAATCCCATAATTTCTTCTTTCTCTGTTGATAAGGCATGTTGGACACACGCTAAAGTCACGTCTGTAGACAACAAAACTTTCTTTAACATCTCTCGCTAGAAATCATATAATATTTCTGGAGAAAACGCAACAATTCAGCAGATAATCGCATCAACAACAAACAACAAATCACAATAAAAGCTTTGAAAAATGAGTCGTCAAGTGAAATGTCAAAAAATATTTAAAGCGTGTGATTCACTGTCTGACTTAGTCAGGCGCAGGTGCGTTTAATGTCATGGAAAACATTTTGATTTGTTTTTCCACGTTGACACTTGTCAAAAGTTGAAGTTACTGAACGAAAAAGATGGGAGCCAGTAGGCCGGCCAAATTCCGTTCGAAAGCAGCAAAACCATGCAAATTACAGACTTATTAAATTATCACGTCTATACAGTACTATTCCATAGATTTTACAGGGTACGTATGTCGGGCACACACTCGTACGTAAATTCCGTACGAATTTTCGCTGGAATTCAACGCTTCGCGTCTCTCAGCTGAGTCTTGATATTCCGAACGAAAATAAGTGTATGATGTAC